CTAGGCAGCTGCCTAGTATTGCCTAATGGTAAATCCCTCTCTGGTTGTATTTCACCAAACTACTTCACGAGAAACATGATAAGCAACCAGACGTTACTCCTGATAGTTATCACGTGAACAACCAGATTCACGTGTGATTTCAGTTGCAGTTCTTATTTGATGAAAACAATAAAATGCTGAAATTGGGTTTATTATATTGATAAAGTTTTGAAAGCAGAAGTGCAGCTTGAGTCCCAAACAGCGGAAACGCCACCAAACCTTTTCATTTTCAGTAACTAATGAGGAGTAAAGAGGCTCAAACTGGACAGAAACGCCTTCAGACGGTGGCCTGTTGGCCTCCAAACAGATGCTTGATGTTGACGTGGTTACATGCGGTCTGACATGTTGCTCCTCGCCCTGCATGCAGCCTCTCCCGTGCTCTCGGTATGTGGACAGCTGCCTGCCACTAACACAGCCCCACTATCCCACATGGAGCTGCAATCTGAGGGGCATTTAAACTTTAAATGGCCAAAGCTGACAGCTGGCTGTGGGAGGGCAGAGGAACATATATGCAGCCTGAGCTCCGGAGCAGCAGAGCGAAGCAGAACCTGCAGGAGGTCTGTCCACGTCTTCTGTTCAAGCGTTTGGTTCTGATCCAGTCATGGGTGCCTTCATCGCCAAGATGCTGCTTCCCACCGTCAGCAGCCTGGTGTTCCTGCCGGCTGCCAGCGTGGCTGCAAAGAGGGGCTTCCACACCGAGGCCATGGTCTACTTCTTCACTATGTTCTTCACTGCGGTGAGACTTCGCCATCTCTGACTGACGGCCGCCATCTTGCTTATTTTAAATTCTATTTCAAACAGATAAAAGCTGATTTAGAAAAGCTAAACTTCTTATATTTGATGCTGTTACTGATCCTAAAGCTGATCAATAACTAATCAAAAATACACAAATGATCAATTTAAAAACAAACATGTTAATTAATAAATAAATGATTGTTATTAAATTTCTAGTAATATCGAAATTACATTTAAATTAATATAATCCTAAATGTAATATTAAATTAGAACCTTAATTACCACTATTCAAACAATTGTTAACATTAAAAATTTAAATATTTATAAATATTATAAATATAATCTTAAAATGAAAGTTGTATCTGAAATTGTTTTACTTTTGAGGAACAATAAATCATTAATAAATATAATTAATTGTGAATTTTTCATCAACAGTTATATCATCAATTAAACCTTGATGTAAGATCAGAGGATTTTTTTTAAATTAATTATCTAAAGGAAACTTGTTTTTTCCTGTTGTGGGGATTCAGGTTTTACTTTAATCTGGATTAAACTTTGCTCCTGCAGATTTATCACGCCTGTGACGGTCCAGGCCTCGCCATCCTGTGTTTCATGAGGTACGACATTCTGGAATACTTCAGCGTTTACGGCACGGCGCTCTCCATGTGGGTCACACTCACAGGTAAAACCAGGGATTGTTCTGGAAAAGCTGCTGCAGTTGCTGCAAACATTTGCTTTGACTTCTGGAGGCATTTGCTCAGACACACGAGTTCTGCAGCGTCTCCAATGTCAGACATCTGGCTGCTCTTTAAAAAGTCTCCTCTTCAGATTGGACAAACCACTGAACTGTGGCCTTTAATCTGAGTTAATCTAGAATGAGGTTTCTGATTAATTCCAACACTGAATGCTTTAGCTTGATGTCATAAATACATGTTTGCGTTTGTATCTGTAATAATCTGTTGAGGGTTTAATGTAGTCAGACCTTCATCAATAACTGGTTTTTAAAAACATGAATTATTGTTCCTAATTGGTTAATCTGGAACGACACTGATTCTGCACTGAATTCTGTTCCTGCAAAAAAAATAATAGACTTTTGAAAGAAACACGTTTTGTAAAAATGTAATCCAGAAATTAAACTTTAAAAAGGTTTTAATCAGATAACTTAAACAGCATGACCACCCTGACCTCGTCTCCTTCCTCCTCCCTCCACCCTGACCTTGTCTCCTTCCTCCTCCCTCCACCCTGACCTTGTCTCCTTCCTCCTCCCTCCACCCTGACCTTGTCTCCTTCCTCCTCCCTCCACCCTGAGCTTGTCTCCTTCCTC